GGGCGGACTGGGAACCTCCTTCCCTGTCTTTCCCCTGGGGGATCCTGCCTGTCCCAGTCTCTCTCCACACCCGCGTGCGAGCTGTCACTGCCTGCCGCCCTCGGGATGCAGTCCCGATTCCTTACCCTGCTATTCGAGGCTCAGGGTCTGGCCCTGGCTTCCCAATCTAGGACTCCTCCTCTTGTGGCTTGTGTTCCTGCCACGACCAAAGTCCAGCTCTCCGAATTCAGCGTGCCCCTCCGTGCCTCTGAGCCCTTGCACGTGCGGGTGCCACAGCCCGCAAGGCTCTTCCCACCAGGAAAGTTCCCACCCACCCTTCAGGGCTCAGGGGAGAGTCACCTCCTCCAGGAGGCCTTCCCAGACTCTCCCAGCCCTTTGTGCCTCCTCCTTCAGGGTGTTTAGGTCCTGGGTCCTCACTGCCTGATCAGGGGACTGTTCCCCTCACTGGGCTGTGAGCTCCTGAGGGCGGAGTGTTTGTGATCCCTCTGTCTCCACTCCAAGTACTCAGCCCCAGGCCTCATCTGGGCAGTGCTCCGGGAAGGTTTGTTGAAAGACTGGGTGTCCAACTCCAGCCGCAGACCATGGAGGGGCCATCTCTAAGGAAGAGAGGGCGAGAGCTAGGCAGCTCTCTCTCTCTCTTTTTTAATGTTTATTTTTGAGACAGAGAGAGAGAGCGCGCATGAGTGGGGGGCGGATAGAGGGAGAGGGCGACCACGGAATCCCAGCATGTCTCGGTTTTATCACCTCAGCATCGTGTCCCGGCGTCCCCCAAGCCCACTCTCCCTTCCTGTCTCCCTCTGTCCCTCTCTTGCTTCCAGTTCGCCTGATGGCCCCCGACTCCCTCCAAGTCACCCACGTAGGGACCCACAGATGCAACGTAACTTGGAAAGTCCGCCAGTCCTCCCACTACATTGAAAGATACCTGGAGTTTGAGGCCCGGAAAAGGTCCCCAGGCCACAGCTGGGAGGTGAGTGCCCTGCCCTGATTCCTCCTTCCTGCCCCGGTCACCCTGTCCATCCTTCATCTCAGCCAAGCTA